CTTCCTCCTCCTCCTCCACCTCTTCCTTCTCCTCCTCTTTTCTTCTTCTTCTTCTTTTCTTCTCCTCTTCCTCCTCTTCTTCTCCTCCTCTTCTTCCTCCTCCTCTTTTCTTCTTCTTCTTCTTTTCTTCTCCTCTTCCTCCTCTTCTTCTCCTCCTCTTCTTCCTCCTCCTCCCCCTCTTCTTCTTCTTCTTTTCTTCTCCTCTTCCTCCTCTTCTTCTCCTCCTTCTCCTCCTCCTCTTCTTCCTCCTCCTCCCTCTTCTTCTTTTTCTTTTCTTCTTCTCCTTCTTTTTCTTCTTCTCCTCCTTTTCTTTTTCTTCTTCTTCCTCCTCCTCCTCCACCTCTTCCTTCTCCTCCTCTTTTCTTCTTCTTCTTCTTCTTCTTCTTCTTCTTTTCTTCTCCTCTTCCTCCTCTTCTTCTCCTCCTCTTCTTCCTCCTCCTCCCTCTTCTTCTTCTTCTTTTCTTCTTCTCCTCTTCCTCCTCTTCTTCTCCTCCTTCTCCTCCTCCTCTTCTTCCTCCTCCTCCCTCTTCTTCTTCTTCTTTTCTTCTTCTCCCTCTTCTTCTTTTCTTCTTCTCCTTGTCCTTGTCCTCCTTCTTTTCTTCTTCTTCTTTTCTTCTCCTCCTCTTCCTCCTCTTCTTTTCTTCTTCTCCTTGTCCTTGTCTTCCTCCTCCTTCTCTTCCTCCTCCTCTTCTTCTCTTCCTCTTCTTTTTCTTCTTCTCCTCCTTCTCCTCCTCCTTCTCCTCCTCGTCTTCTTCCTCCTCGTCTCCCTCTTCTTCTTCTTCTTCTTTTCTTTTTCTTCTTCTCCTCCTCCTCCTCTTCTTCCTCCTCCTCTCCCTCTTCTTCTTCTTCTTTTCTTCTTCTCCTTGTCCTTGTTCTCCTCCTTTTCTTCTTCTCCTCTTCCTCCTCTTCTTCTTTTCTTCTTCTCCTTGTCCTTGTCTTCCTCTTCCTCCTCTTCTCTTCCTCTTCCTTTTTTTTCTTCTTCCTCTCCTCCTCCTCCTCTTCTCCTCCTCCTCCTCCTCCTTCTCCTCCCCACTCTTCCACTCTGCAAACCCCTTCTAACACTGCTGATGTTACCAAGTTAGGTCATGAAACGCCTGCAAGAAGACAACCAACCTCAGAGACTACCTCACAGTTCTCCCTGAGCTACAAATATTCTCTTCTACCTGAAGACTCTGTTGGGTTTTCTCTTAATTAGTTTGTTTGTTTATTATTATTTTGACAGAAAGGGAAATATCACAATGAAGGCTTCCCATCCGGTTTTCCTAGTAAATACATTTAAAAGCAAGACCTAGCAAACTTCAACAAAACATCCCTTTCTTTGATCCTGTTGAGCAGACTTCAAAAAGTATGGTCATGTCCATCCTTTGGCCCTGGGGGAATGAGCCACAAGCTGTTTGCATCTTCTGGAGAACGTCAGCAGAACAGCTGGTTATCCAAGGTGAAGGGAAAGCGAGAGCATTCCATTTGCATAAGTCGGTCCATAGTTTCTGCGCTCATGAAGGCTGTGACATAAATAGAACATGGAATCATGGAACTGGAAGGGATCTCAGAAGTCAACCAATCAGAATAGAGCTGGAAGGGACCTTGGAGGTCCCTTACAGTCCAGCCCCCTGCTCAAGCAGGAGAACCTGTAACATTTCAGATAAAGGCACTGTCCACTTGTCCACTTCTTTAAAACCTCCAATGATGGAGCTTCTGGTGGCAAGCTGTTCCACTGGTTAATTGTCCTCACTGTCAGGAAGCTTCTCCTTCGTTCCAGATTTGCTTCTCTCCTTGTTTAGTTTCCATTCGTTGTTTCTTGTCCTGCCCTCTGGTGCTTTGGAAAATAAATTGACCCCCCCCCCCTCCTCTTTGTGGCAGCCCTTCAAATACTGGAATGCTGCTATCATGTCACCCCTAATCCTTCTTTCCTCTAGACTGGCCATACCCAAATCCTGCAACCATTCTTCATAAATTTTAGTCTCCAGGCCTTTAATCATCTTAGTTGCTATTCTTTGCACTTTTCCCAAAGTTTCCACATCATTTTTGTTTTTGTAATGTGACCAAAACTGGATGCAATATTCCCGGTGTGGCCTTACTAAGGCTTTATAAAGCGATAGTAATACTTCAGGTGATTTTGATTCTATGCCTCTGTTTATACAACCAAGGATTGTATTAGGGGATTTTTTTTTTTGGCTGCTGCCCCACACGACTGACTCATGTTTAAGTGATTAACAGATTATCAGAGTTGGAAGGGACTTTGTAGGTCATCTAGTCCAACCCCCTNCGCTAGGGATTTGAACCGTTGAACCTGCCGACCTTTCTGATCGGCAACCTCAGTGTTTTAGCCACTGAGCCACCGCATCCCTCATCCTGTAGAATTAGCCATTTGTAAAAATTCAAACCCCATTTGGAGATTTGCCAGTGCATTTTTTTCTCCCCTCCCAAATCGATTTTGGATGTTCAAAACAATTCTGTTTCCTCAATTGATCTGCAGGGCCAGATGGACTTGGGTGAATTTCCTGAATGAATCTGGTATTTTCAATTCACTTTTTTTCCCCTCCCATATGGTGGGTTTTTTCCCCCCCCATCCTTGAATTTTAAATGTTCAATTCCTCTCCTGGGTTGCAAAAGAGTTGGAGACCATAACGTGTTCGTGAATAAGCTCCTTTCTTTATGAGAGCATATTTTCAATTTTGTGGTTGTTTTCTCCTGTATCTGAAAGCGTGGAATGTTACGTTTTTTTTACAGGTCTTGCATGGCTGCAGACAATGCGATAATTAACAAGTAGCTGTGTGTTGTTTGGGTACATAAAACCATAAACCCCCCTGTCTGTACCCCCTTCCCTGATAGAATTGTGAGCCGCCCTGAGTCCCCTTCGGGGGAAAAGGGCAGCATATAAATGTAATAAATCAATCAATCAATTAAATCAATCAATAAAAAAACCCAAAACTACAGTACTTTTTCTCCTTGAAAGCTAATGATCAAAAGTGGCGCTTTTTTTCCTTCATCCTGCCTGAATTTTCTTTTCTTTGAATAGGTGCTTTGAATGTATGCTTTAAGATCATGTAAGACTTGCAAAATGGAACCAAAAGTTTAAGCTCCTTCCTTTTTATATTCTTTTTATGTAGAGCAGAGTAGAACAGAACAGAATAGTGGAATGAAGGAATAGAACAGAACAGAATAGAATAATGGAGAATAGAATGGAATGGAAAAGAAAAAGGAACAGAATAGAATAATGGAGAATAGGGTTCATCGGGCGACCGACAAAAGTGCACCCAACGAAACTGCGGTGACAAAACCGCGAGTTCTAAACCACGCCGACGAATGAGCGCTGAAACACGCCGACAACAGTGCGCCAACAGAAGCACGCTCTAAACCTAACCCTA